GGTTTTTTGGTGGTTTGAGTTCTGGCTTATTTCTCCACAGGCATCAGCAGGATTCCGATCTTTCAGTAGCATGCTCTGATGCCGACCTCCACAGACACAAAAAAAAGAAGAAGAAAAAGAAGAGGCACTCCAGGAAATCCGAGGACTTTGTTAAAGACTCAGAACCGCACCTCCCCAAGGCTGCCAGCCATGAGACTGTTGACCGTTTCCGGAGACCGGACGGCACCCTCCCCCTCACCGACGGGCTGCCTCTGGAAGGTGTCGGGCCTTTCCGTGAGAAGAGAAAACATTTAAGGATGGGAAGCAGGGATGACAGGTGTCCTCTGTCTGAGTGTGGCCAGGGTAAGAGGAGATACTTGGAATTAAGAATATAGAAATGATTTCTTGTTAACAGAGGGGAAGAAGCCCTCAGATGGCAGAGAAGGCCATGCGTTCCAGCGGGAGCCCTAGTACCTGTCCGCTCCCCCCTCGGCCCCCAGCCGCACGGTCCCAGCTACGGGCCGAGGCTGTACATGTGCCAGCAGCTCAGTGACGCGGACTGGCTCTGCGGGGCCTCTAGCGACATCTCTGGAGGCTGGGGCTCTGGCTGTGTGTGTCTCATGAAGGACCAGGACTTTTGTTTGTAAGCCGTTTCTGATAGAAATATTTTCAGTGTGTTTTTTCTCTCCTGAGTCTTTAAACCTCTTGTATTCTGAGTATAACCTGAAACTCAGTTTGAGGAATGTCAGCTGTCAGCCCTTCGTGGAGCCAAGGCCTTGCAGGTGCTTGTACTGTGGGACCCTGGCTCTTGCCGAGTGAATCCCTCCGGCCTGGGGTTGGGGGGCTTGGATTCTTACCACCTTTGCACCGTGTCTTCCAATGTCATTCCATACCCCTTTCTGCTCTGACTGCACTTAAAGCAGTCCCTCTTCCCATTCTGATTTGTGTCTGTGACCCTCGGCTGTGGGCACCCACAGGAGCCAGGGTGCTGAGCAGGGTCAGCCAACTGCAGCCCATGGGCGCCACCTGTCTCCATGTGGCCTGCTGCTAAGAAAGGCTTTACAGGCTTTAAATAGCTGGACAGTTCCGAAGGAGGACATTTCATTGCACGGGAGGGTTGTGTGGACCTGATATGCAGCGTCCGGAGCTGTGCTTGGGGTGAGCCAGGCCCACTCAGTTACATGGGGCCACACTGCCCTGGTGAGTGGCTGCCAAGAGCCTGAATGGTCCCACCCAGAACCTGGTTATGCTCTGGCCTTTTGTACAGAAACCTCGCCCACCCCTGCCCTAGATGCCTGAGGTGCGCTTTCAGGACTTTGATGGTTGCCCAGAGGCCCTTTGGTTCTTGACTGTGTTGTGAACTTGAGTGGGACATCCTGTGTTTTGGGGGCAGACCAGTCCCTGCAGTGGCCCACTGTCCATGTGGCTGTTGAGTGAGGAGGGACAGACAGGTCCCAAGGGTTGGCATTAGAGAACTGGACACCATGAGGGAGGTACTGTCCCAGCGGGAAGGGATGTGCAGTGTGACGTGCCATGACATGCCCAGGGGGCACGGGATAGAGAAGAGTGGGAAGTGATGCTGGACTGTTGTCTGCTCTGGGTTATTTTTTATTTAAAGATTCTATTTATTCATGAGAGACACACAGAGGCAGAGATACAGGCAAAGGGAGAAGCAGGCTTTCTGCGGGAAGCCCAATGTGGGACTTGATCCCGGTTCTCTAGGATCATGCCCTGGGCTGGAAGCCGTGCTAAACCACTGAGCCACCCAGGTGTCCCTCTGCTCTGGGTTTTTTAAAGAGATTAATTATATGAATCTTCAGACTGGTTTCCCATGAGCATTTGGTGATTTGGGGAAGGGCTTGGCCTGATGAAGATGGAGTCCTTTCTGACCTCTCTGGTGCTTTGGGAGGAAGTGTAGTGGGCATCATCCAGGGGATTCTGCTTTGTTGCCAGAATCTTCCCGTCCCAGCTGCAGGTCTAGGCCGCGGCGCACAGTGGAGGGCGGCTCCCCCACAGAGATGGTTCTAGAGGGAAAGCAAGCTGAGTGTGAACCTTGGTAGTTGGCATTTGGGGGCCCAGACAGGTCTCCAAGGGCTGCAGTCACGCTTTGTGTCAAGTGGTGGCTGTTTCTGTTCTGTCCGATTACACTTGGTGGCTGGTGTGTTGCCAGCACTTCTGGGGAGAACAGACTGAGGAACTCGTGTGCCTGTCCCTTCTGTCCTCCTCAAGGACAGGGACCACCTGCTTGGCCTTCCATGCCCAGCATCCCTGTCTTCCGAGAACGCCTTGCCTGCCTGCCGCGCGTCCCCTCTTCTTGGCACGTTGACTGCTCACCTCTCAGATGCCTGTCCTCGGGCTCCATGAGACTCTCACTTCAGTGTCTCTGGTCTGAGATCTGTTCTGTCCTCCTGTTAAAATGCTGATCAGTTTGATGGACTGAGAGCAAACTGTTCCCACAGCGTATGTATGGCTTTCGCTCCCCAGGCATCACATAAAGTCTTGCTTTGAGGGGTAGCAGCGTGACAGTGTACACCTGCTTGTCTTGTGCGGGGCAGGTGTCAGACACCCAATCCCCGGGAATGGGCTCTAGATGTAACCACTTGATGCAAGCACACAGCACAGGCACGGAAAATTCTGCAAAAACAGTATTAAAATCTCTTTCCTGATTCTTTGCTTTCTAGGTGATTGAAAACTTGGCCTCAAAACAAAAAATTCACTAGTTATGGTAAGCAGCTTTCCTGTCTGTATATTTCATACTTGTTTGTAGAGGCACCAAGGGGGACACACACAGAGTTCGCAGCCTTGGGGACACAGCCAGTGCTGCGGGGAGCAGGTGTGGGAGGTGCCTCGTGAGGGAAGCAGACTCCTCTGACCACCAGGCCAGTGGTGGAGCTGTGCTTAGTTAGACCCCTGTTCGTCAGCTCTGGCTCTGAGATGGTGTCCCTTAATCCAGGCGGCACCACCTGCTCCCCCTGCCTCCCCTTATGGTAGGAAAATGAGAGAAAGTTGAAAGCGCAGGCGACGAGGATGGAGAAGCCCCTTTCTCCACCTTACCCACTGGCCTGAGGGGCTCCGCCCACACACAGGCACCCGTCCCGTGCTTGGGGCACAAGGGGCTAGCATGCCCCACACCTGACGCGCTCCCCAGCTGGCACAGCGTCCAGGCCTGGAGCAACAGGTCCCATAAGGACCTAGAAATCACACCGATTTCAGACAAAAGGAACTTTGTGTTATTGGAATGAGGTTGGATACCTTCTAACAGATCAAAACTTTGCCAGTGTCTAGTGATTGACTACTGGAATTTGATCCATGGCCGTGGGAGATAGTAATTCACGTCTGCGGTTCAGGACGATGTGCCACCTTGCTCTGGAAGGGACTTACGTCCAATGTGTGACTTGTAGTCAGCAAGGGGGTGGGGGGTGAAATGGATTTCACTGTATTGTCTACCGAAGATTAACGTGCAACTAATGCTTTCTCAGTGTGTCTTAAGGAAAAGACCTAAGCCTAAGTAAGGAATTAGTCTTCTCTAGTGAAAGGGAATTAATTGAAGGAGCGAGCCGATTAGCCGAGGCCCAGGCTTGGCGAGCCCAGCAGGTGGCTCCCTCCGCACGTCTGGCCCGGCAGCCCCCTTCCTGTCCTGCCCTTGGAAGGAAGAAGAGCTCCCCCAAAAGGCCTGGTGCAGCTGTGCTGACAGGAAGCCCACGAATGAGTTGTCCCATTAGGGATGCCCGGCCCTGCCCGGCCCCCTAGCCCCGTGGCCCCTGTCCTGCCTCGGGAGGTACTAATGCGTGCTGCTTGCCGCCTCTTGTCTTTCAGATCCAACGTGTTCAACAGAAGCCATCCCCAACCCAGCTTAAATTATAAATATAGAAAATAACTTTGTTCGAATCTGCGTGGTGCTTCTTTAGTAAATACTGTACAGATTTTACCATGGAGAACTTTTTTTTAGTTTTTACCTTTTCGTAATTACCCTTATTCCAAATGGACGAACACTTTCTACAACTGCTGACCATTGTAAAACACCGTGTATATAAATCCCATGGACAGTAACGCCCTGGACTGGAACATCTCAAATGCTGCTTAATCAGACTCAGGTGGACCGCTCGCATTCCATGGAAAGCTCCTCCCAGTTAGACATCCGGCGCGAGACCAGCCGGGAAACCATGGAATTATTAAAAGTACAAACTGACAGTGTGTATATTTAATTTAAAGACTTATTTAAAGATTCACAAGCTCTCAACTAGACTTGAGAGCAGTCTGTTTTCTGTAATGTCTGATACTAGAAACTAATTTGCTTCATATTTTAGTTGTATTCAAGATTTGAAAATGTATTTTATAGACAAGTTCTGTTTTTGAACTTTGTGGAACTATTCCAATCAATTTACCAGTTATGATGAGTATTTACATTATGAATGTATAATCCAAACATTATTTGTAAAGCCTACAGTATGTTTTTATTACTTAACACTTTTTTATACAGTGTCTCTTGTCTTGACTATGATATTGGAGTCTGAGTTGTCAGCTTGGTCCCTTAAAGTTTCTAGTTACAGACAAAATCATACTGTGATTTTATTTTTAATATGGATATGCTATCAAACTGTGATACACTTATAATTCACTGGTCCTGCATCAGGAGATGGAGTGGGGAAAACTGTATTTAATACAGTTTGTATCTGAATAATCTGTATGGTTTATACAGTTTGTGTTGTTCAGAGATGTCTAAAGTTTGATCTTTGTTTTTTTAAAGATTAAAAAAGCACTTGCCCCACTGTAAATATACAGCATGTAAAATTTATATAGTATATAAATGGCAGCAAATTAAACATTTTGTGTCTTATTCTTTACTGCTGTTTCTTCCCTTTGCTTACCACACCCTTCTCACCAACTTTTTCCTGCTGCCTTGACTTTCTTAGCCTCTGGAGCCCAAGCTACAGCCTCCCTTCTCGGCCTGGGAGGACGGAGGGACAGGGAGAGGGTTGCCCGACCCAACCATCTATTTTAGAGAACCAAGTCACAGACCATCTTGTTCAAACAATGCATTTTTAATTTTGTGAACACAGTATTTGCAATTTGACGGCCATACACCTTCCATTTTTACTATTCATTTTACAACAAAATATTGATAGGGTATTCATGCAGGTGGTGGGAGTATATACACTGAATAACAAACACTCCAGAAAGCTCTATGTACATTATTTACATATTAACTATTTACCGTAAATAGAAATGTCTAAGAAAAAATAAGAAAATGTGAAATCACAACGTGTGGTTTCAGGTCTACAACAGACCTAACTTCCCCAGCAAAGCACATCTACGTCAATAATACGCATTTTAACTTTAAAAAATATGCATTGCTTTATATGAAGCATTAAATGCTGCTTCACCTATAAATAGCTCCTATTTTGATTCAGTTTGGTACCACATTAAACTGTTGACAGTTGTTCCGTGATCCTGAAGACACTTGCTTGCCTGGGTCCAAGGTCATCCAGTTAAACCTCGAGCGTTCACGGAGGCCTGCCTGGCGCGCCCCCCTGCACTGCCACCTGCCCTTGGCCTCGATTCAAGTGTGCCACGCAGACATGGGGGTGGGGAGGAGGCTGAGGTCCGGGAGGCATCCTGGACAGGCCTGCCCGCAGGTGGAGTGGGTCCGACGGCTGGTGTGCCCGTCGTATTAATACTGTCACCACATAGACGGGGAACGAGAGGATCTCCCGTAACATGGGGGGCAGGTCCCACGGATTCTAAGCACCGTGGCCTCTGCCTCGCTCCTGGGGAAAGAGCCATGACTGGGGAGGAACAGTTCCTACCGGGCTTTCCTGAAGCTTGCTTCTCCCAACCCCGCTGAGGCCAAGCCCGGGGCCAGAAAGCCCTGCTTCCCCAGGGGCCTAGCTGGGGCGGCCGCAGGACAGAGGGATGCTCTCTCCCTCGCGGGAGCTACCAATCAGGCCACCGCCGGGGCGCTCTTGAGCAGCGCTGGGCCCGGGCTCCGGGCACCGCGTGTCCGTGGAAGACCAGAGGCCAGAGTTGCATATATGCCGGCACATATACTTGCCTTTCTCAAAAACTACAGTTTCGAATTTGAGGTATCAGTACAGTAACAAAGCCTAAAAGCTTGGGAATGAAACAATCAGTTCAATGCAGGTCAGAGAGTCGTGGGCTCAGACCCCTTTGCATTTAGTGGGACTTAAAGCTACGTCAAGGTCAGCGGCGTCGAGGCCAGGGGCCCGCAGCCGGTCAGTTCCAGCACCAAGGCAACTCACAGGAACAGTCACTTGTACTTAACATCTTCACACAGGTGCTCACGGTCTGAGGGCTGCTTTCCGGAACTTGCATGTGGCACAGGACGGTCCGGGGACCCACCGCCAGAACAGCCGTGTGGGCCAGGGGGTTCCATCCCAAAGACCCAGATGCAGCATCCCAGCACACAGCACCCCAACCTCACCCACCAGCACCCCCGTTCTGCTCGGAGATCCACCTTCCCTCCGGCAGCCGCCCTGAGCACCTTCCATGAGATCAACAGCAACCTGACAACTACCTGATGGTGGATCCTCTGAAGTTCCACCAGCAGTGCATATGGGGGGTTTTACACTATTTACAGGAAACCCTCAGTGCCCCGTGCCTTCATCCCACAGCGTCCTCTCTCCCTGCTCGTAGCGAGAGAGTAAGTCTCTGAAAACATGGAGTAAGGTTCGTTCTCGTTATTTGTCTATATGTGTTAGGTTAAAAGATCTGGTCAAATTATCATCGGGTCTGTAAAAAGTATTTGTTTTGCCAACAGGTTTTCAATAGCGAAGACTGACCCACATGGAACCGCTAGCTGGCGGGCCACACAGGCCAAAGCAGCCGCTCCGTGGGGCTCAGCACCCAGGCTGCGCAGGACTGCAGTCACAAGAGAAACACCCAGAACCATCACTTCGATGTTAAAGATCTGCCTTTTCAGAGGGTACTCTGTGGGGGCACAAGGTCTGCGCTGAAGAGTAGCCCCGGGGCCCGCCCACCCCCTGGAGCCCAGCCCTGGGCCCCTTGGGGGCACCGAGGTGCCTGCCCCTCTGCACTGCACATGTGTGGACAGAGGTTTCCTCAGTGCACGTACTTGTGTCCTGTACTTGTGCCCAGGAGTTCTGTTTATAGCTGCCATTCTAAAAATACTGTTAGAAAGTAAGTATCTTTTGTTATAATTTCAGAATATAAAAAGGCATATAAAAGCTATAATCCTATATATCTGAGAAAAAACTCTGAATAAAAAAGTGGTAGCTTTTCCTTTCTTGTCCTGATAGAAAACGGCGGCTTCTAGAATGGTGAACACAGCCACGGGGAGTGCGCGTGTGGCCCGCGGGGCACGAGGTCCTGTCCACAGAGGCGGCATTGGGACACGCGGGCGGCGCCCCGCACAGAAGGCCCCTCGGAGCTCGGGCCACGCCCTCGGCGACCCCAGAGTGGCGCCTCCGTGAAGCCGCCGCCCGGTGCAGGCACTGCCTCCTCTGGGGAGGCAGCAGGAGGGCGAGGCTGGGCCCAGGGTGTCTGTGCGGGGAGGCTCCCAGTCAACTTTCTGCTGTGGGATTTCGGCTTCCACTTTCACCTGTTCCGGCCAGGAGGGATCTATTTCTTATTGGCAATCCTCCTCTTCCTCGTAGCCAGCATGTCATAGAAGGGATCCCTGCTGATGCTTGCTCTGGGGACAAAGGACAATCCTGAGGGCGGAGGGCGGCTGTAGCACGTCTCTGCAGCCAGGGGTCAGGCCCGGCACACAAGTGTGCATGCGCTCAGGCAGTGCTGCGTCTGTGCAGGCACTCCCACGCATGCAGGTGTACACACTCATGCACATGCATTCCCCACGCATGCATGCCTACTCGTGCACACCCACGTGCAAGCATTCCCACGCGTGCAGGCGTACACACTCGTGCACTCCCACATGTACCGGCATACACTCACATGGATGTGCACTCCCACATGCACACGTACACTTACATGCATGTCCTTCCACACGTGCAGGCACACACGCTGTCCCCAGCAGAACCGCGTACACAGATAGGACGGGGCCCTGGGGCTCTGAGCAGGGGCTTGGGGCACGCACCTGATGGATTTCATCCACTCTTCCTTCTCCTCGGGGCTCGGGGCAGAGATCCGGTACACGACGTGGTTCCCCTCCACCACTCGGCCGTCCGCCTCCGTTTTACAGGCCTTGATGACCTGGCCCTTATGGCTCGGGTTATAAAGCTCGAAACAGTTCTGGTGGAGACAGAGGGCCGTCACCCTGCGCCGGGGCCGCCCAAGGGCAGGGGCAGCAAGAGGGAGCCCCGCTTACCGGTTTCCGGGGGTCCTCCACCTCTCTGATGCTGAGGTTTTCCAGGGGAATGATGCCCCTGGGCTCCTTGTCCTAGGAGAGAAGAGCGCATGGCCAGCCTTGCTCAGGTCCGTGCGAGGGGCCTGGTCCCCGGGGCACCGCAGCCGGCCCCATACTTACTGTCGTGTACTCGAAGTAATAGAGGCAGTTGTCGGTGAGGATGAACCACCGGCGCTTCCAGGTCTTCACCCGCCCTCCTAGAAGCAGAAGGACCCCGTGAGTCAGAGCCCCAGGTGCTCGGAACTGGGACCTACAGAAATTACCGTATTTTCAGAAATGTCACCAGGAACCAAGCTCGGTTTTACGCTCCCTTCCTCGTGAAAACGTTGGACATTCCACTCAACACTTAGCCAAGGCCTAGACAAGCCTTGTGGCCTGTGGCCTGGCTGGTGACAAGCGGGCGCAGGGCGCTGCCAGGGCCCCACATGCACCCCCACCCGGGGCCATCATCGGCGCCCCTACCACGGCCACGGCCACCTGAGCCCTCTACTAAATTCAATTGCTCTCCAAACCGGCTTTCTGGAAACGTTAGTGGTGATGAATGGGCTTAATATCCCCGCATGGAAATGACAACAGGATGAAGTCAGTGCCACTCCCCGGGCCTGTCCGGGTTGTAATCCTGTTACCTCAGGTCTCTGGGTGGCCCTGGGATCCATCAGGATCAATTATTCCTCAGTCCGGGGAATTACTCGATTGAATTAATCTCTTAACAAGATCAAGACACACATGTAAACACACACGCGTGCACACACACACACAGCTCGTCTGCATCTCTTCTCCTTTCACTACAGAAAAGGAAATCTTTTACCCTTAAATATTCACAAAATGGGCTTCAATTTCCAACCCTGGCTCCTGACATAAAGTTCAAGAAAACACAATCTACTAGAAAAACATACACATGGTAACAGGATCAAGCGGTACGTGGGCAGGAGCGGATCTCCCTACTCTGTCTCGCCTGAGGTGGCATCCGGGCGCAGCTCACCCACCTTTCTCTATTACGTGAGCAGGTGAGGGCTGTCGGGGCTGAGGGACGAGGGTGTGCAGACAGGATGAGGGGAGGAAGGCTGTGTGGGTCACGTGGGGGGAAGGGGTCAGGAGGGACAGGAAGGCACACTTGCCAGCTTCCCAGTTCAGCCTGGGGCTGAGGCAGGACAGCCTCCCAGTCATAATGTCTGCAGAAATCCAGGCAGGGAGGACACCTCACTTCAGGGGGAGAGGCACGACCACTGGGATTTGGTGCCACTGGGCCAGGTCCCGGGGAGGTCCCTCTGGGATCCCTCAGCCCTGCCTCACTGAACAGACATTGGACCTCCTCTGGACAGCCTTGGGCAGGCCAACATCCGGCCGGAGAGGCTGGCGTGTGGGATGGGATGCCTGGCAGTGGGGACAGGGCCTCAGCTGTGTGGGGAAGGCAGGCCTGCTATGTCTCCCCCGTCTCTGACCGACACCCCCAGCTCCAGCCACCTTCACTACTGCTCCCTGTCTGAAGGGTCTGTGTGCCTTCCCCAGATTCCTGTTGCCCCCTCCACACCCCCAGGCCTACAGACACGTCCCCTCCCCATCCCCCAGTGTCTCTCTGAGCCCCAGCTGGACCCCTGCTCCCCACACCCCTGTGCAGCTACCCTGAGACTCTCGGGGGGCTTCCCTGGAATCCTCTGCTCCCCCTGGACCAGGCCTCATCTGTTCTTCTGAAGAGCCAGCACAGAGCTGGGTAGAGGAGCCCTCTTTATTCTCCAACCTCCCGAAGCACCCCACGGAAGCCCAAGTTCACAGGGCAGTGACCCAGGAGACCCCTGTCCCAAAGTCCTCCAGTGATAGGACAGCAGGGACTCTCTCCAGGTACATCCCCTGCCCCCACGAGGTCTTTCTCTGGCCCCTGTCAGCCTCACCACTGTCTCCAAACAGCAGCCACAGGCGTCCCTTGAAAGGACAAGTTCATTCCAGCTCTCGATGCCTGAAGCTGCCAAAGGCTCCCACCTCAGCTGAAGACCCCAATCCCTCGGTGGCCTCCATGGCCTCCTCCTGGCTCCCCTCCCTGCCCCTGCCCTTCCTTCTGGCTGACATGCCAGCTGCAGCTCCGACTCTCCTGCCAGCACCTTCCCTCTGCTCGCCCCACAAGCAGTTCTTGGAGAATCCTCCCAGGAGTCCTGCGCCATCCACTTGTCCAGCACCTGCTCTTCTGTCCACGCTCCTGTCACTGGGTCACTAGGTGGCGGTCTAGGTGTTCCGCTCACCTCCAGGCCCCACCGCAGGCGGTCCAGGAAGGCTTCTCAGCACTTAGCCCCTGGGCTCCTGCCCCACTGCTCCTGCGCTCAGTCGCATGTCCAGGGGAGCCCCAACCCTGGTCCAGTTGTCACAGCCAAAGGGCCTCCCAGCCCTAGGTACGCTTACAGCTCAGGGCCTGCCCAGCAGGGGCGGGCGTGGTGAGGGGGCCACACTTTTGGTGTTGGAGCCACCCCAGGTTTTGCTGCAAGGGAACAGACAAGCTCTGCATGTGTGTTCCTGGCTGAGCTTCAGGAGATGGGGATGGACACACACACACACACACACACACACACACACACACACACACACACACACTTTCACTCCTGCAGAAAGGAGCCTTGCTTCTCCACCCTGTGAACTTCCTGCTAGTTCCATGGCCATTCCCAGGCACACGGCATGTGGGCACACATTACCCTGCAACAGGTTTTCTGCAGGACAGATCAAGTCTGATCCACGTTCCTGTTTTCAACACAACTGATCCATTCTCAAAATTCAGCGACTATAAGGCCTTTACTTGACCATCATGAAGAAATGCTACAATGCTCCCATGCTCTCGCAAAGCATGCAGGCCTTTTGAAAGTGCCACCTGCCCTAAGACTACATTTTTTATGAGAATCACGAAGCAAGGCCACGCAGTGACCTCTGTTCCTATCTAAGCACATGCACAGAACACACACTGTTTCCTACCCTTGTGTCATAGGCCTCTGGCCAAGCACTTCTGTGTCCAGGCCTTGGTCTGCCCTGTGCTGGATAAGGGCCCAGAGCTAACCCAGGCCAAGCTAATGCATCTTTAGCATCAGCTTCCAGCAGATTTACTGCTTTCTTGGTCTTCAGAGCCCAACACCAACCGGCTGCCCCTTAGTAGCCAGGCCAGTGTCAATACTGCGGGGAGGCGGCCTGTGGGCAGGATGGTCTCCAGGCCTCAGCAGCTCTGGAGAGCAGACCAACCTGGGGAAACGTGCTCTCTGGACGGCTACAGCTCTGTGAACACAGCGGGTACAGAGGTTGCCTGGGCCAGAGGGAGGCAGCAGCAGGCTTGCTGGCACTCCGGGAAGGTGGCTCCTGGGCAGTCACTGGGCTGGCCAGCTCAAGGTCTGGGCAGTGCCATCACTGCTAGGTCTGTGACAGCTAATGAGAACACCAGTGTCATAACTTACACACACACACACACACACACACACACACACACACGCAGCGGCGGAACATGGAAGGAGCAGACCTTGGTCCTCCCACCTACCCGCTGTGCCAAGGCCATGTCTGGCTGTATGGGGCCCATTGGGCACCTACCCAGCACCCAAGCCAGTTCTGTGGCCCCTAAGGGTGCTCTGGGCACTGCTTACATGTACAACCAGAACACAGGTTGGAATATAAGGCCTGTTGTGCCTTTACCTCCCTCATTTTGTTCTGTCTTTAGAAGCAGGCGCATCTCCCACTGGTGCTGAGGCCACACCAACTGCCAGGCAGGCTTGCACTGTCACTGTCACTGTCACACGAGGGGCATTCCCTGGCCATGCAGGAACAGCTGCTGGTGTGTCAGACACATCCCTCCTCTGCCCTCACCCCAGGGCCACAGGTGTGACGTGACCTCAGAGATGCATCTCGAAGTCCATGAAAGTATTCAAGTCCACGCTTAGGGCTCTGAGTTTCCAAAGATCTAGAACTCCCCTAACTGGCAGCACAGGCAGAGAAGTTGGAGCAAGACCCCAAATCAGAATGGCTGAGCCCCAGCACACACCTTCATGCCTCTTACCCACCCTTGATTAAAAACACAAAGTTGCCGGACTTCTTGATGTCTTATAGTATGTTCTCAGAGTGCCCGGATGGTACACAGTTGTCACGTCTCACAGGCTCTCATGTCACAGTAAGGCAGAAATCCCAATCTCCCCAGAGTAAAAACAAAACACCCCACCCTAACAATTCATTAAATTGCCCAGAAAATATCAATGTTTCTGTACTTCTTTGTCAATGGTTAGGAAGCCTTGTAAACATTTCCGGATTCCGTCCAAGGGTGGTGCAAACATGCGTTGTTTGGTTAGTATGAGAGGCAACCGGTGATGTACGGGAATGGAGCAGGCAACCAGCAGTCTCGTGGCTGCTCAGGCCCTAAGGACACTGAGGGGCAAGCTCGTTCCCACACGGCATTCCCATGCGCTCCCGGGCGCAGAAAGGCTGGCATTCCAGCCATGCCTCGCCTGGCCCCAGAGGTGTAGGTGTCACATTCGCTGCACCCTGCATGAAGCTAACCCCGGCAAGTCCAAAGCCACATGGGTCAGATGAATGGCAGCCACAAATCAGAGCTTCACACAGACCAACGGGGGAGAGAAACTGAGAGAGGAATGAGCAGCTGGGGAAGGGGCAGGAAGCCACTGGGTACGTACCTCCTAACGCAGAACAAGCAGGGACAGCCCGTCACAGAACAGAAAGGTGGGAGCCACAGGCAGAAGGAAAACAAGAAGGCACATTTAAACCACTCATCAAAAATCAGCCACACCAAACCAAGAGAAAGGCACGCAGGTTCTCGCAGTAAATGCACCTGCCTCTGGTACAGAAAACTGCCTTGGGTCTATCTGGATGCTAAGTGAGCAGTTTTCTCGGACACTCGTGCAGCCCGGGCGTTATTCTCTGCCGTGGACACTGACAAGATGGCCTCGTTCGGACAGGGCAGGGCTCAAAGCAGCAGCCATCAAGTCTGGGGCGTGCGGCCGGCTACCGTGGGCGGACTCGGCCCAACAGCCCTTGCTTCTAGCGGTTCTGCCTTTGGTCGGGAGCCTTGGGGGCCGAGGGCTGGGGGCTCCGAGCGCGGGGCCCACCTGCTGGCCGCCACTCACCCAGCTTCAGGAGCCAGCCCTCACGGTCAGGGTTGAAGAACGTGTGTGTCAGGTCATTGCCATCATCCTCGGGGATCTTAAACGGCTCGTTCTTGATACTCTCGTATAAGTTCTGCGAGGAGCACGGGTGACAATGGTCTCAGGGATGCAGCCGGGGGCCAGGGGTGGGGAGGGCCCAGTCAGCACTGTGTCCCCAAGGGCGCCAGGCTCAGTGGGACCAGGGCCATGAGGTGCCTGAAGGTTAAGGGGCGGCGGTGGCAGCTCCTGAGGGGCGAGGGCCAGTTCCGTGGAAGAGGGAAGCTCACCCGCAGCAGCTCCTCCGGGAGATCCCCTCCCTCATTGATGCCACGGTTCATGGTGACGAAGCGCTCAGCCGTGGGCTTGTCCCGCACATTGTGGTTGTGGAGGCTGGTGTTGAGCATGATGATGGCAAACGACAGCACATAGCAGGTGTCTGAAAGAGGACAGAGGGAGCCGGGGCGCTCAGCCGCCTGCCCGGCCAGAGGCACCCCCTCCACCCAGCAGAGGCGCACAGTGCTGGGGCCCAACCCTCACCGACCTGTGGACTGGAAGACACCCGGGTTGCACAGGCAATAGCGGGACGCAAACGCCTCCATCATGCGGTCGATCTTCTGAGCCTCCCCCGGAAGTCGAAAGCTCCACAAGAACTGCCTGCGAAGACACCAACACCAGGGGATGATGGTGTCTCTCCCTCTAGAGGACCCCCAACCCGGGAATGTTCCAGGCAGCCCCTGGATGGCAGAGGGAGGCACTGGGGGCAGAGCCCCAGGACCCGCAGGAGCAACATGGCGGCCGCCACTTGCTGCCCTCAACTGTCTACCCAGGGACAGCCGGCACCACCCGCAGGAACACGTTGGGGACCCCTGGCTCCAGCCAGAGACTGACCAGCTAAAAGAAATGGAACCCTGGCTGCCATGACCACATCCCAGACTCGCCAGGCCTGTGTCTCTGTGTTGCAGAGTTGTCAGCACCTCCTTCAGCCCAGGCCAGCTGAGACACTGAAGAGGACAAATGGCAGACAGCAAAGCCACCCCCAGCTCTGTGCAATTTGCAGAAGCCGTATGGGGACAAGGGCCAAGAGCAGGACAGAAACATGGTCAGTCACACACTTTGCAGCCACAGAGCAGGAAGTAGTCGCAACGGAGACTGCATGGCCCTGGCTTGGGGGACAGCCATCGGAGCCTCAGCTGGGACACCAGGAAGGAAACCAGATCCTCTCGGTGGTGCAGGAAGAGCAGAGCGTACAGGACGATGCCTCGAGTGGACATCCAGAGGGATGACCTGGCACCTCTACCACGGTAGCCGGCAAAACCTCAGGGCCACACAGGGCCATCCTCTTGCATTCACCCCGATGACATGTAGTGACGGCTGGCTTTGCCTGGACAAGGCAGGGACTAGGGGGCAGCCTCTGACAGCAGGCCGTCCACACGCTCCCCACCCACACTGGGGCATCCACGAGGCAGGCATCTGAGACCAGATGCCCCAGGAAGCAGGCCCATGCCTAGGCCGCCCCAAGACTCTGCTGCAGCAGTGGGAAGAAAGTATGCACTGACTACTGAGTACCAACTGAGATGAAGGAGAAGCAAAGGAGTGGGGAACGGCACGCACACCCAGCGGTCCCACCAAGGCGAGCACAAGCTCGGTCTGTGAACGCCTACCCAGGCCCTTGGGCAACACCCTCTGAGGGTGAGCCCCGGCCTCCTGCTCCAGCACCTCCCCACTAACAGCTGAGACTCTGACACTTACCTTAAGGCTTGGACAAGGTTCAGATCAGCAAATTCATGGAGTTCGACAAACGCCTGGAGAACTTTAATATTAAAGTCGTCCCTGGGAAAGAAAGCAAACACAGTCCAAGTCCACTGCACAGAATTTCAATCATCTCAAAAGAAAGATATTTCCTACATCCAGCAGGTGCTTGTGGTTTTCCATTTTGCCTAACTGGAAGTTAAGATGTATTGCATTGCATGTTCATTCTCAGACTTAGGGCTACTAACACCCCTGGCAGCTTCCAACATCCCTATCTGCTTCCACTTTTCTTTCATCCTTTGCCCTAACACCTTCTAATATATGACAGAAATGGTTTTCACATTATGCTTATTACATACTGCCTATATCATGCCAGCAGAATATGGCTCGAGTGGATGAATCCATCTTTTCTAACACCACAACCCATGTGCCTAAAACAGAGCCTAGCATGGACTCAGAACTTAGTATTTTTGTGGAACTCAAAACCTGCAGGCACTCAGTACTTCTAGCAACAGGAACTGCCAGACTTCATATTACACAAATGTCATAGTTCATCTCATGCACTTGCCACCAAACGATGGAGAATTCAGACTCTAAACCTCATGGCACAGACAATTAAATGAAGTGCTGCAACCCCTGGGCCACTGTTCAGGCTTTCTGTGGGTTTGTTTTTAGCAGCTTTGTCCTAACATAATTCACATCCCATGCAATTGTCCTATTTCAAGCATACCTTTCTTTCTTTTTTTTTATAAATTTTTATTTATTTATTTATGAGAGAGAGAGAGAGAGAGAGAGAGAGAGAGAGAGAGAGAGAGGGAGAGAGGGAGGCAGAGACACAGGCAGAGGGAGAAGCAGGCTCCATGCACCGGGAGCCCGACGTGGGATTTGATCCCAGGTCTCCAGGATCGCGCCCTGGGCCAAAGGCAGGCGCCAAACCGCTGCACCACCCAGGGATCCCTCAAGCATACCTTTCAATGGCTTTTAATATATTCACAGATGTGTACAACTGTTACCACTATCAATTTCTGAAGACTTTCATTACCCCAATCCCAAGCACTTTCATTTCACCTATCTCAAGCACTTCATGTAAAGGGAGGAACACAACACATGGTCTTCTGCAACTGGCTTCTTCTATTATCTCCCTGTTTTCATCCACGTGGTAGCATGTACCAGCACTCTGTTTCTCCTTTTACCAATTAATATTCCATTGTATGGATGTACCACATCTTATTTATCCACCAGTTGAGGGACATCTGAGTTGATGGACATTTGAACTGCTTTCACTTTTTGGCTAACAAGAATAACGTGGCTACAAACATTGGTCCGGGTTCGTATGTATGTTTTTACTTATCTTGGGTGTATACCTAGGAGTAGAATTACTGGGTCACGTGGGGACATTAGTATTTTGAAGCACTGCCAACTACTTCCCACAGCTACTGCATCGCTTATCCTACAAGCAGTGTGTAAGAGGTCTGATTTTCCCACATCCTTGGCAATGCTTATTATCTTTTTATTATGATTACAGACATCCCAGTGGGTGTGAAATGGCAGCTCACTATGGTTTTGATCTGTAGCTCCCTGATGGGGGCTAAGGATGCTGAACATCCTGTCGTGTGCTTATGGCCTTATCATATATTTACACATCTTCTTTGGAGAAATGTCCATTCAGATGTTTTTCATTTCTAATTGTCTTGTTACTGAGTTGTAAGAGTTCTTTATATATTCTAGATAGCAGTCCTTCTCAGACTTATACATGACTTGGAAAGATTTCTATTTTGTAGATTGCCTCTTCACCTTCTTGATGACATCCTTTGAAACACAAGTTTTCAATTTTGATGATGTCCCATTTACCTAGGTTTTTTTTTTTTTTTTTTTTTTGCTATTTATGTTTTTGGTGTCACATCTAAGAAACTCTTGCCTAATCCAAGGTCACAAAGATTTGCCCCCAACATTTTCTTCTAAGTGTTTTATAGTTTCCTTCTTAAATGTAGGCCTCTGATCCAGTTTAATTTTTGCATATGGTGAGTGGTCCAGTGGTATTCTTTTACATGTGGATATCCAGGTATCCCAGATCATTTGTTAAAAAAGACTCTTCTTTCCCCCACTGAACTGTCCTGATAATGTTACTGAAAATCATTTGACAGGAGTGATTCTCGATGGTTCTGTTAAGCTACCTTAGACTTAGGTCATGAGATCTCAGGGTCCCAGGATCATGCCCAGTGTCAAGCCTCTCTGCCCCTCCCTTACTTGTGCGCTCTCTCTCTCTCTCTCTCTCTAATAAGTAAAATCTTAAAAAGAAAATCATCTCACAGTAAATTTAAGGGTTTATTTTTTAGATTCTCCATTCTATTCCATGACCTAGAAGTATACTCTTACACCAGTTATCATGCCATCTTGACTATTTTAGCTTTAATCTGTCTTATAATCATAAAATGTAGGTTCTGCAAAACTCTGTTCTTCTTTTCCAAGATTGTTGCTATTTTGGGTCCCATGAATGTCTACATTAATTTTAGGATGAGTTTGTCAACTTCTACAAAGAAGCAAGCTGGGATCTTGATAGGGAATGAGTTAAATCTGCAGATCAAGGTAGGTGGTACTGCCATCTTTGTAATACTAAGTCTTCCCATCCATGAACATGGGCCATCTTTCCATTTATGTAGGTCTTCTCTTTTTTTTTTTCAGTTTTATAGTTCAGAATAAAAATTTTATGCTTTTTAAGTCCATTCCCAATATTTTATTCCTTCTAATGCTATTATAAAAGAGAGTTGTTTTTCTTAATAGCTTTTCCAAGCTTGCTCATTGCCACCATTTAGAACTATAATTGAATTTGACATAACAATCTTATATCCTGCAGCCTTACTGAACTTATTAATAATGCTTTTAGTGATTCCTCAGGATTTTCTACATATACAATTAAGTCCTCTACAACAGTTTTATTTCTTCCTTTCCAAAGTAGATGCTTTTTTTTTTTAAGATTTTATTTATTTATTCATGAAAGACACAGAGAGAGGGAGGCAGAGACACAGGCAGAGGGAGAAGCAGGCTCCATGCAAGGAGCCCGACGTGGGACTCGATCTCAGAACTCTAGGATGACGCCCTGGGCCGAAGGCAGGCACTAAACTGCTGAGCCACCCAGGGATCCCCCAAACTAGATGCTTTTAATTTCATTCTCTTGCCTAACTAGAACTGCCAGTACCATGTCAAAGAGAAGTGGTGAGAACAGTCAACTTTATCTTGTTCTTCTTAGGAGAATGCATAAAGTGAACTTGTAAGTTTTACAGGTGCCCTACATCATACTGAGGAAGTTCCCGTCTTTTCCTGGCTTGTTGAGTGCTTCTGTCCTGAAGCAGTGAATGCTGTTAAATGCCTTTCCAGCATCTATTAGGATGATCATGTGGGTTTTACTCTTTATTGTATTGAAATGGTCTATCGCTTTGACTTTTGCATGCTGAACTAACCTTGCATTCACAGAATAATGAATGTATGTATGGGGATGAATGTATTAGCATAGAGTCATTTTTACATATTGCTGGATTTAATTTACTAATATTTAATTGCGAATTTTTGCTTCAATAGTCATAGGAGATACTGGTCTATCTACTGTTTTGTGTTTTTTTTTTTTTTTTTTATTGTGAGGTCTTTGGTTTGGGTATCAGGTAGTTGTGGCCTCACAGAATGAGTTAAGTGTTCAGCTTTCCACTTTTGACCAAGTATTTTTAATAAAAAGCTAGAAACAAAAACCACTCTGGTTGAACAACTGTTAGGCTCTTGTTTAAAAACTCTCTTGTTTGGTCCTTGACTCAGGGGACATGATTCCTGCCCTAACCTGTGCTAAGCACAGCAAATGGACTGTTAACTGGAGAAAGCTGGGAATGTAAAATCTGACCAGCTTCTCTCCATTTAAAAAATTAATAACTTCCCACGTTCACTCATCAGCCCCAAGCAACAGGGGAAGAAAATCATGAAGAAATATGGTCTATTTCGGGGCAAAACTTGAAAAGAAGATTAAGATGCTTTCTGAGGGGGCACCTGGGTGGCTCAGTTGGTTGAGTGTCCGACTCTTGATTTTGGCTTTGGATTTTGGTCGTGATCTCAGGTCTCAAGTCAGTTTCCATGCTCTCAGTGGAGAGTCTGCTTGAAGTGCTCTCTTCCTCTGCCTCTCCCGCTCCCTACTCTCTCTCAAATAAATAAATAAATCTTAAAAAAAAATAAAAAGCTGCTTTCTGAGGTACAAAGAAAGGCAGCGTCAGTTTCAGTTCTGCTGTGGCTCCCGAGTAAAGGCTTCCAGAGATCACAGACCCCACCTGGCCCAAGAGACCCATACCTCCCCCAAAGGCAGAGAGAGGACATGAGAGCATAGGGCCAACTCGGTGGTGGGGAGTGGCCCACACAGCCCTGGACCCACAGGAAACTGTGACAGACCTTGATGTGGAGGGCGAGACCAGGTTGCGCTGCTGATTCTCCTTCAACTTACCTCTCACCCAGATAGTCCCCAATCACGGTCTTATTTAGGCCTTCTCCTTTATACAGGAACTGGGCTACGTCTTCTGGGGAGTTCTGCAGCAGGTCATTTTCTATTAGAAACTGAATTCCCTGAAGAGGGACATAAGGAAGAAAGCTCTGGTTAGGAGGGTCGCCCAGACTCATTTTTCACAGACAGAAATACATCCAGAGTAATGATCTTACTGGCTGGGGTATGGCAAAAACAACAGGACAATCTGATCCTCACCCCCCAGAGTACACTTTGTCCATCAGAGGAAAGCACATTCATTCCTCCTGGCACGTTAATGGGCTAAAAGACAAATAAACGGGTTACTGAGAAAATCATTTTAAGGAAGTTATTGGAGATGATAAAGGCAGAGGTGGTAACAATAGCAAATTTCCCAAGCTCAGAAGATCAATCTGCTTTGTGTGTGAGAGCAACGTGTCATATGTGGTTGGCTAACCCATGCCCTCCACAAGCTCCCCTTTATCCTTGCTGTTCCTCACTAAATAATCACATTCCCAGCTTCCCTTGCAACTAGGAGTGACCTTGTGACACAAATCTGGTCAGGAAGAAGTCTGTAGGGAGTGCCTGGGGAAGCTGTCACTTTCTTGATACAAAGGGACTCGTGAGCAGCCACTGCTCCTTCTTCTTCCTTCCTGACTTGAATGCAGACATGAAGACCAGAACCCTTACAGCCAGTGGACCAGAGAAAGGCCCCGATGAACACAGGGCCTGTGTCCTGCCACTTGACACCCTTCAGCCACCTCTGCTATGTAAGAGGAGAGCCCACTGTGTAAGCTGTATTGGCTGTGGCTGAACATGCTAACTGATCACTGGGCCAATGAGCTTAAACTGGTGAAAATCCATGCCCACCTTAAGGCCCAAAAGGGCACAGGTGACAATTTCTAAATGAAAGGCTGCAGGGGTACTGTCCTGGCCCGAATTAGCTATGCTCCTCTCCTGAGAAGCCCTAATAATAGCAAAATTTTACCTCTGACACAGCTTCTGAGCTGGTTTCAAAATACACGTTGGCAAAGCTGGGGAGGGGATTCTGTCCTCTATTTGCTGGAGGTTATTTCTACAAATTCAGAGAGATTTTCCAGCTACAACTCCCCATGCCCGGGACCTGGGCTTCCTCACTCCATGTGCTCCATCTGAAAGTCTTTGTCATTTTTTTCAAACACATGAATGTCTACAGCAGCCTTATCTAAAATTCCCCAAAACTGAAAACAACCCAACACCTCATCAATAAGAGAAGAGATAAATCTATTCTGGTAGATTCCAAATGATGGGACACAATACAGCAATAAGAGAGAATAAGCGTACAACATCGATGAACCTGCCAGACGTGGCATAGAGTAAAAGGATGACACAGTGTGTACCTTAATTCCATTTATATGAAGTTTTAAAACAGGTAACCCCACTCTATGGTGATGGGGTGGAATTCATTCGCTAGGAGGAGACACCAGAGAGACATTTCTGATGCCCTATAACCACATCTTGCTCTGGGTTACACAAGGATTTCAATTTGTAAAAATTTGTCAAGCTGTGCATTCAAAGTTTGTGCACCATATGCTGTTCTTCAAAAAATGAAAAAGTTTACCAAAAAATCAGTATGTCTGACTATCCTAAATTAACTCTCATCTATTTCTGGTGGGAGCTAAAGTGAAGACCAGCCCCCCGTCCCCCACCATATCATCCTCTAAGTGGGAAGGCATCCACACAGTATAAGGAAGCGTTCCATCCCAAGTATGCGCCTATCCTACCCAGTCCCCTGAAAGCGAGGCCGGGGACAAAGGTGACAATGCTGGTGTTTATTCACCCACAGAGAAGCATGCTGGATGGGGAAGCAGAGCTTCCTGCTTGTTGCAGTGGTCTGTGAGGGAGGGGAGCCCAGGGCAGGAGGGGGGCTGAAGTTTACAGTCTGACCTAACATCCCTGGAAAAGTGGTCCAAGGCCACAGCTGCCCTGGTCTGCCTGTCTTGACTCCGTGTCCCAAGGGTGGGTAGAATCAGCAGACCCTGCTGCCCCCCCATCCAAAACTGCAAGGGATGGGGAGAGAGCATCCAAAGGACCCGAGGTCTTGGGACCAAGGGCCCAGCAGATACAGGTGTTCCCTGGGGGGTGCCTGGTTGGCATCTGGGTGACATCCCTGGCCTGGTCTTTTGTGACCACTGTGGCTGCAGTACTAGCCAAAAGACAGGGGACAGGGGCCCCACAATTATGAAACCACCACTGCAGGCTGTCCTGTAGTCAGGTCCCTTCTGCTGCCATTACTCTCTGTGCACCTTCCCTGGGGCCATGGCTTTGCATCCATCCCGCCCCGTGCCCCTTCCAGCCTCCCAGCCTCCCAGAGGTCCCCAGAGCCCCTAGGCCCAGCAACTGCCACAGTCACAAAGTCCCAGGTACTCCATCAGCCTACGCTCTGCCCAGAACTGAATGGGCCTGGGGATGAGGTTTTCTGAGCTCTGGATGCTCATGACCTGCTCTAAAATTCAAACACTCAGGAGCTCCTCAGGGAGGCTATGCATAGCCTGAAAAACCAGATTTGAGAAGACCAAGTAGGTCCAGAACAAGGTCATCTCTTCTGTGCCTCAAGGTTATGGGAGACAGCCAGAGGAGCCCCAAACCAAGCTCCAGCTCCCCTCTGCAAGAGGTACTGGAAAACACAGCACCACAGGGGTAAGCCCAGGCCAGGGACTGGAAGAGAAAATGGAGCCAAAACCCAGAGTCTGAGAGAGCAGTTACGAAGGAGAATGGAACTATTATCAGGGAGGAAAAACCAAGAAGCAGAAGCATAGGACAACAACACAGGAGCCAGGGAACATGCATCCTCATACAGGACAGAAGCGGCGGCATCACCATCCATGTGACACGCAGGCTGAGTGTAGAGTGGTGGGTCCGCAAGCCAGGGAACACCAAGGATCACGATCCCCCGTGGAGGGAAGCAGGGAGCAGACTCCCCATCAGAGCTTCCAGAAGGAACCACTCTGCCCACACCTGGATCTTGGACTTCTAGCCTCTGGGCCTGTGACACAACCCATCCTTGTTGTTTCAGGCCATTGAGTTTGTGGTCATTTATTACAGCAACTCTGGAGACCCAAGTATGCTAGATAAACGTTAAGGAAAGAAAGTAAATGTTCTGGTATCATTAGACAAGGTTAATGTTTTAAAATATCATTTAGGAAATCAAATAGGAGAATCTGCTGGAGGGGGCCACCATTCAACCCACTACTCATCTACTTTTCCTATTTCCTGGTTTTCAACCCTGGTGCTATGGGTCCTGGGTGCGTGTCTCCATCAGGACACATCTGGGCTTTATTGTTGTTTCTTCAACCTGATGTCAAGGTGCCTTGTAAGCAGTAACTGAGCACAAATTTATGGTGATTATGGATTTGCTACCACTTGATTCCTGGGCCTTCACGTACACTGGGTATTTCTCATGTCTTTTCAGCTTTCTGTTGAATTAAGTTTTCTTTATTCGATGTTTCCTAGTTTGGAAATCCTATCTTATCCCTAACTTCCAATGGTTACTCTTAAAATTTTAATATTTAAACTTACATTCATCCATGAATGTCCAGAAAACCTTAGCCAACCTTTACTTCCCTGCTTCCCTTCTCCCTTGCTATGGATACAGCTGACCCTTCAACAACACAGGGGTTACTGGCCCCCCACGCCCCACATAGTCGAAAATCTGCATGTAACCTTTGACTCCTGAAAAATCTGACTCCTAATAGCCTCTTGCTGACCAGAAGCCTTACCCATAACACAAGCAGTCAATTCACACATTTTCTACATCACATGTATTCTATATTTGTATTCTTAAAATAGTATCATAGTATTATAACCACATTCTTATAAGCTGGAGAAAAGAAATTGTTACAAAGAAAATCGTAAGGAAGAAAAAATACATTTCCAGTACTGTACTATATGTTTAAAAAAAACCCATGTGTATGTAAATGGACCCTCGCAGCCCAAACCCAGTGCTGCTCAAGGGTCAACTGTATTGAGGTAATCTGGGGGTTTTAATTTGTTAAACACTCTTTCAGTAATCAAGCTCTCATTTAGACTTAACCATATGTTTGGCTGGTTTCTTTGCATCTCTGTTTCATAGTGCAGCTGCTCTTGGATTTGGGTCGGTTACAGGTGTGCTGCTCCAATCGTGATTTCTAGAGTTCACAGAAGGCATTAGCAGTTACTTTTGTGAGACTTTGCATATCTGACATGTCTTCACCTGCCTCCTCACACAGGTGACAGTCTAGATATACAGAATTCTAGGTTTTATTATTTTTATCTTATTTGGTTTCTCGCAGCTCCACACCAGCCTCCCCAGAACTCCAGATTTTAAATCACACTTCCTCAGACCTTGGAAAACACTTTCCCTGCTGTCTTTGCTCCAGTGTTTCTGGTGAGATTCTGGTTTCTTCCTAGATAATCTGGTCTTTCCGTTCTGGAAAGTCAGTGAGTTTCTCTTTATTCACAAGCTTTCTGGTATTTTACTTGATATTTCTATGGATCAGTCTCTGAAAATTTTATCCTGCTTGGCATTTAGTGAGCCCTTTGAATTTGAGAATTTTCTCTTAATCTAGTTCTGAAATACTCCAATATTAATTTGAAATACATCCCCCACTGTCTTCTAGCTTCTCCTCCTGGAACTTCTATGGGATAAAATCCGAGCTGCCAGACCTGCCCCCCCACCCCCCATGAGTCTACACAGAGCTATGGAAAATATGGAGGGAGCATCATCCACCCTGCCAGCGTCCCTGATCCTGCCCCACACCGTGGGTTTTCACAGGGCTTTGGTTCTTCACTTCCACGGATCTTTCCCACAACTCCTCGTTTTTGCACCAAGGATAAGCCAACACCCTATCATCTCTGATGATATTTTAATATACATAACATCTTACTTTTAATGTTTCCTCCTATGTTAGTTCTGCTGTGGAGTTTGACTTCTCTTTCATGGGGTCGAACAGTTTATACATTCAATGATTCCTGGCTGGGTGTTCACCTTAGTATTTAAGAATCTCTGATAGTCTCCCTGAACGCCATTTGTTTCTGGAGCAAGTGATGCGGCCATTGGGGTGCTCAGAAGATGGTCTCCAGAACAGGTGTTTCTCCTCCTCCTCCTCCTCCATGAGGCCAGCAGAGAAGAGACCCCTCCATCTCCCATGTGGAGGCACACACCACTATTTGGCGCAAGCTCAGCCAAGGGTGAGTGGTCTGGATATCCCCTCAATGGTCCCAAGCCCCAAACGTGCTGCCCTGAGTGAGCTGAACCCCTGATGTGGTTCTCACTTCCCACGGCAATTCTTTCCTGATGTGCATTGGGCTACTGTTCATCTTTTTATCTTTCAGGGTTCCCTCAACTTCTAGTCCTCTAAGTGAACTCGTGCTTGTTATAGAGCCATACATTATATTTTTAAAGACATTCCAAGGAGGCTGGGAATAAAAAAGAAGCTGTAGTATGTTTCCAGCTTCTTTGATTGAACCGATCTTTCCTCTTGCTCACTTATAACCTGACTGCTACTTCTGGGTATCTAATGTCTCTGCACAAACAAAAGCTCCTTGCTCAAAATGATACCACTCTGTGACTTAAAACATTTCCTACTGGCCTGGAAGTCTTTACTCTGATGATAGCCTGTTTCCCAAGCCCACATATGACATCACTCAGTGCTGTTATGGACTGAATGTTTGTGTTTCCCCAAAATTCTGATCTTGAAGCTCTGACCCTGTGTGATGGTATAAGAAAGCGGGGCCTTTGGGGGATGCCTGGGTGGCTCAGTGGTTGAGCACCTGCCTTTGGCCCAGGGCGTGATCCTGGGGTCCCGGGATCGAGACCTACCCCCTGCATGGAGCCTACTTCTCCCTCTGCCTATGTCTCTGCCCACCCCCCTCTCTCATGAATAAATAAATAAAATCTTTATTTAAAAAAAAAAAAAGGAACCGGGGGGCCTTTGGGAGGCAGTTAGGGTCAGGTGAGGTCATTTGGGCGGGGCTTTCATCTGATGGAGCTAATGCCCTTATGAGAGGAGACACCAGGGAACTCTCTCCTGCTTCTTCTCTGCCATGTGGGGACACAGTGAGAAGAAGGCCATTTATAAGTTGGGAAGAGAGGTCCCACCAGAACCCAGCCATGCTGGCATCTCAATCTCGGACTTCCAGCCTCCCAAACTGTGAAAAAGTCAGAGTCTACTGTTCAAGCCACCAGTCTATGGTATTTTGTGAAGGTGGCCCCAGCAGACTCAGACCAGTGCTATGGTCATCTATAAAGTGGAATTTTCATTACTTTTCCCCTGCAGGTCACATGCAGACTAAATTTAGCATCTGATTTTACCTAGCAACATGATTACAAATAAGTTGTTGGGCAGAGCCAATAATTAGTATCTTAGAAATTTTTTGGGGGATCCCTGGGTAGCTCAGCGGTTTAGTGCCTGCCTTCGGCGTAGGGCATGATCCTGGAGTCCCAGGATCAAATCCCAAATTGGGCTCTCTGCGGAGCCCCATCGGGAGCCTGCTTCTCCCTCTGCCTATGTCTTTGCCTCTCTCTATGTCTCTCATGAATAAATAAATAAAATCTTTAAAAAATGAAAAAAAAATTTTTCAGGTAATAGGATGCCTGAGTGGCTCAGCAGTTGAGCATCTGCCTTCAGCTCAGGGTGTGGTCCTGGGGTACTGGGATTGAGTCCTACATTGAGCTCCTTGCATGGAACCTACTTCTCCCTCTGCCTCTCTCTGTGTATCTCTCATGAATAAATAAAATCTTAAAAAAAAAAAAATCTTTCAGGTGAAGAGGTCTATATGTAAAATGAAGCCTGTAGAGCAACTGGCCATGGCCTAGGCAAGCAGATAAAGCCCCTGCTTGCTTAGATGTGGTGAAGAGGATCCCCAGGGCTGAGCAGGGTTCCGGGACATCCAACCCCAGAGTCCCACAGGAGCTCAGGGAAGTTCAGTAGTTACAGGCCTGAGTCTGAGATGGATTCCTGGCTCAGGACACTGGGCAGGTCTCGGTGGTTCTGTGCCCCATTGTCCCCAACGGCACAATAGGAATTAAAATGGAACCCACCTCGTAAGATTAAGTATACTAATTACAGTGCTTCATTAGCAGTTCCCAACACGTGCCAAGTGCTCAATAAACGTGAGTCAGCCCTCATGATTATAAAGCTGACACCTGGTGTTGGGAGACTATGAGGACAGGCAAGAACCTGAAGAAGTCATGGAACCACTAAAATATAGGTTATTTGTGTTTCACTGGGGGAGGACGTGGGCTCATCCATGACCTTGCTGGCGCACTATCCTGCACTGCACCATAAAACATTAAGGTCCAGTTTTTAAAAGAGCCACTTGTGAAGTATCACTCGAGATGCTGCCAATGCTTAGCACATCTGTTGATTAAGCCAAATCTGTGAACTCGACTCAAGAAAGGGGTTTGTGTGGCAGGTTTCATTGCTTTCAGGTGTTTTCCTTGACAATCCAACTTGAACACTGTATTGGCTGAAGTCAGGAGAGCTCCCTGACCCTTCATGCAGACATCTTCTCTCAAAGGTGAACGAAAGGAACAAAGTCCTCTGACTTGAAGCATTTAACCCCCCAGCAGCCCCACAGGCTGCAGCTCTGCCCACCAGCCCCAACCTGTGCCCTGACCAAGCACTCCTCGAGCTGTGGGCCATGCTTCAGCAGAAGATATAGTGCTTGACCCAGCCCCACCAATGGTCCCACTATTGGTCGGCACACACCCATCACTCCCAGGAGGCCCAGCCTCGCCTGGAGCCTCACATGCGAAGACCAGGGACCAGATCAACAGAGCTTCTTCTTTACCCTACTCACCAGGATCCCCTACATAGTAAAAATTTAACATCAAGTCTCAGTATTTTTCATGAGGGCAGATGACCACCTCTGTCCAAAATGAGAGAGCCAGTCAAATCGGTGAACCTCAATTTCTTATATGTCAGAAACCTGGGATGTCTGCTTACCTTTTTGGGATCCATGTTGAATTTCTTCCTCCCCATGGCTATCTGCTTGTTCCTCTGGGTAGTTTTGCTATGCATTTCAAACAGTGAAGAAATGGTTAGCCAAAGTTTGCGCCAAGCGCAAGGGGGCGTGCAGTCTCCGTGGCACTTTGGTCAGCATCTCGGTGCAGAAAACTGCCTAGGCTCCCCCACGCACCCCTCTCCCTCCACCCTCTACCCCCTAAAGCAGAAGTAGCACACATGGCTTCCCCAGGCTCTTCTCTACACTGGATTCCTTCTCCAGAAAAAGCCAATAACAAGGAAACGACTATTTAAGGGAAGCACAGTTCCCTGCTGTACATAAAGGCTGCTTCTGTGGTTAATTCAGAGGGGCCTGTGCTTCCAGAGAAGAGAGAGGACAGGCTGTGGCTGTGGCCCCTGAAGAAGCACCCTGACTCCTCCACGGAGAGCAGGAAGGGGTTGGGGGGTGGAGAGCAGAGGAACCAACGGCCCCACAAAGGCTGCCCCACTTTGAGTGTCTCCAACGGTCCCGCCCGCCCCTGCTGTGGTCACATGGCAGCTGAGGCAGGGAAAGAAGAGGTTAGTAACTCAGCAGTGTGGCACCAACTGTTTACCTCTCCTCCACTGAAGTCAGATTGTCAATCTCAGTCATCACTTCGGCAATTTCATATTTCAGCCTCTGTCAAAAAAAGAAGACAGACATTTGGGCACAGGCTCCTTACCGTCCCCCTCCTAGACACAGATAAACTTTAGCCTCCCAGACAGAAGCTTCCCTGAGGTCTCACGTGGGAATCTTAGGGATGGAAAAATCAGTACTTTCTATCCAGACAGAGAGAGCTTCACAGTCAGAACAGCCCCAACTCTGGAGAAAACACAATTATTACCTATCCACCTCTTACCAGAACAAGCTCAGAGGGGTCAACCAGGCAGATTCTAGAGTGTCTGTGTGTAAAACTGTCCTGAGCCACTCACTGTGGCTCCTCCTCCCCACCCTCTGACCATGCTCCCTGCCTTCTTCACAGCCATGGTCTTCTCTTCTCGGGAAGACCGGGGAGAAGGTGCCGAGGCCAGTATCAGGCCCTTAACCACCAGTCTCAGGGTGAGGTTCTATTGCTTGCCTTCACTTCATGTGTTAGGATACAGACACACGAGATTCCCACTTTTTACATTTTCATGAAGCTACTTGACTATTTGACCTAAAAGCAAAAACCAACTAGAGTTTTTGGTTTGCTTTTTTACCTCAATGTCATCAATAAGTTCCTTCTTTCTTCGACGAATGTCTAAAAGTTCTTCTCTCTCTTCTAATGAGAGGTCTTCAGGCACTGGAAGAAAAAAAAATCAAACTACTACCAGTCTGGAGCCCATGTCGGCAGTATCTAGGGAGGTTGAAGAAGGGATGTGAACAAGCTGGTGGGTCTGTAGGTAGGCATCCAGCCTGAGGAGAACCCTAGGTAGACCCCACATAAGATATTCATAGCAGCATTGTTTGGACTAGAATAAGCACCCAAACATCCACTAAACATGGTACATTTTTAAAACAGAATCCCACGCAACAATAAAACATGGCTGAACTGAGTTAACACAGGTGAGCCTCTGAGAATGGGGAAGTAAAGCAGGCTGGACACTGGATATGGCCCTGTTTGTACAGGCTAAACGTCGAGCACACACTTTTGGAGGTGTGCACGTCTTGGATATGTGCATGTATGTATGAACACAAGTGCACACACAGGAATGAGAAATCCCAAGTTCTTGATAATGGTTCCTTCTGAGAAGGGTGGATGGCAGGAAACATATTCCAGAAGGACACAGGTAAGTGTCAGTGCCATGGGTGCAGGGTGGCCAATATGGGGGTAATTGAACCTCTATATCATTATTATTGACAGAGTTGTTCATAATAATATCTTAATGATTAACCTTTCCCATTCCTATCACGCATTCTCTCTCTTCTTTAACTGTGTCTCAATTGGTATTTCACTTAGCTTTTCGAAGGAGCTTTTTTGATTTTTAATACTCCTCTATTGTGCATTTAATTCCCATTTCATTAATTTCTTTTTTTTAAGATTTTATTTATTTATTCATGAGAGACAGAGAGAGAGAGGCAGAGACATAGACAGAGGGAGAAGCAGGCTCCCTACAGGTAGCCCGATGTGGGACTCGATCCCGGATCCCAGGATCAGGCCCTGAGCCAAAGGCAGATGCTCAACCACTGAGCCACCCAAGCATCCCTCTATTTCAATAATTTCTTGAAAGAAATAAAAGATTAACAATCTGATCAAACAGCAAGAGAGCACACAGAGCTTCCATAAGTGAAGATAATACGGTCATGGCACAGAGGTAGACCCACTGACCAACACATCAGAAGACAGTAGCCAGGAAAGTGCCCCCCAGACAGACAGAAGCTTGATTTATAACAGCTGACACCACAGCTCAAAGGCAGGGTGCGCACTGGTAAGTAACATGTGCTGTATGTGATACAAGTAACATGTATCTTGTGTCCAAGATGAAGCCAAATCCCTATTTATCATCATAGGAATTTTCAACCAGCTACACGTAGAACAAAGGTTTAAATGCAAAGGCAAAACCACAGGTTTTAGAATAGGAAAGGATTTCTTAAACAAGATAGGAAAAATGTAAATCACAAACTAAAATATCAATAAATTCACCTTGAAATTAAGAACCTTTGTTCACCAAAATTCCACACTATAAAGTGAAGAGCTAAGCCAAACACCATTAAAAGGTTGGTATCCAAAATACAGAACTCATACAAAGAAGGGGGAAAGAATTTAAAACCAAGGTTAGGAAATTGGCAAAAGACCTAAACAGCCACAAAATCAAAAAGGAATGAAACAATGGACATGTGAAAAGACATTAACTCTCTTAATCATGGGAAAAGGTAAATTCACATCTTAGGGAGAGACCTCTACTAACAAAGTAGTAAAATTCAGTTAAGGCAATTTCTTAGGACTTAAAAGCCCTGGGGCTCAATGGTTAGGTGGCTGCCTTGGGCTCAGGTCATGATCCTGGGGTCCTGGGATCATGGATTAAGCCCCACATCAAGTCTGCTTCTCCCTCTCCCTGCCGCTTTCCCTGCTTGTGCTCGCTCATTCTCTGTCAAATAAATAAAATCTTAAAACAACAACAAAAAAGCCAGACTGGACCAGAAGTGATTCACTTAACCAAGGTGATGAAGCAGAATCAATGAGGAGAGAGGGAGGGGGCAGACAGAGGTGGAACCTGACTCCAGGCCCTCTAAGGGCTTGGGAACTGGTGGCAGCAAGTAAGTCTGAGGGAGGGCAGAGCTCATAAGCTCTGAGGGAGATTGAGCTCATAAGAGGGCTGGATGAGGCTTGTGAGAGCTATGGGACCCCTTGATCTCCTCTAGCTCCCACAGAAGACTACTCACCTCCAGACAGAATCAGTCGGGGGCCCAAGGGTAACCCAACACACATGAGAACACCACACCAAAGACAAGGGACGCTAGCGGTGCTGACACCCCTGTCACCACCATCACCACCAATCTTCTCCCCATGGGTCTCCTGGCTACTGGCAATCATCCTTTACCCACCTGCACCATCATGGACTAGAGGTAGGAGGGTCTTCTCTGCAGAATCAGATCAGCTATAGAATGCAAAGATACTGATAAGGGGGAGGGGTGTCTGCCAGCAACCAGCATACTTGGATCACCTCACAAAGAAATTGATCAACGAGGCCTCTTGACACACTCAGAGCTTCCAATGACCTTTAGCCTTGCACTCGCCAACATGCAAAGTAACCAGAACAAAGATGTGAAAGTGGTTACACTTTGGGGAACAAGACATTTTGTGGGTAGCCAGGGTAATGCTCGTCTCCCCCACTGTGGCTCTGCAGAACCACTGACTGATACACACGTAAACGATAAATATAAAAACTTGAAACACGTACATGCACGTCAAACTCACCCATTTGGGGGGTGGGATGGAGAAAGGGAGAGAGAGTAAAAAAAAAGAAGTCTGTTCAGACTGGAAACTGGTACGGCCACTTCAGAAAACCAATTGCTGCTGTCTGTTCCTATGGAAGATGTGCCTAAGTGACGGGCCAGTAATTTTACTCCTAGGTGTAAACATACTAAATTCTTGAGCACTGCAACAGATGATATGTATGATGTCAAAGCAGCACACTTGGTAAAAGAGAAAGGAAATGGGCTAAATGCTTATCTAGAGTAGGATGGGAAAATATGTTGTACATTCAAGGCAGGAAACTCCTGACCCGTGATAAAAAAAAAAAAAAAAATCACATACTAGCACAACTACATGGACCATCTCAGAAAAAAGGGAGAAGAACACTTTCTATTTCAAAAACGAAAAAAAAAATATGTTGTTTGGGTATACAAATATCTACATAGTAAAGCAATAAAGACAGGGATCCCTGGGTGGCGCAGCGGTTTGGTGCCTGCCTTTGGCCCAGGGCGCGATCCTGGAGACCCGGGATCGAATCCCACGTCGGGCTCCTGGTGCAACGAGCCTGCTTCTCCCTCTGCCTATGTCTCTGCGCCTCTCTCTCTCTCTCTTTCTCTCTCTGTGTGTGTGACTATCATAAATAAATAAAAAAAATTTTTTTTAAAAAGCAATAAAGACAATCATTGGGATAATAAATACAGAATTCAGAATATTTCTTAGGAGGAAAGAAAGGGATACACAGGATACCTCAAGAGTAGTATTATGCTCCAAAGGAATGCTCTTTTGCTAACAAATACTATTCCTGCTACCAAATAAAATTTTTTTTTAATTTTTAAATCTTTAATGAAAACAGGAAAAAAAAAAAAAAAAAAGAAAGTAAAAGAAAACAGGGCAGCCCAGGTGGAGTTTAGCGCTGCCTTCAGCCCAGAGCGTTATCCTGGAGACCCAGGATCAGCCCTGTGTCTCCCTGCATGGAGCCTGCTTCTGCCTCTGCCTCTCTCTTTCATGAATAAAATCTTAAAAAAAAAAAACTTTAATGAAAACATTTTTTAAGAATTTATTTATTCATTCATCATAGAGAGAGAGATTGAGAGAGAGAGAAAGAGAGAGACAGAGGCAGAGACAGAAGCAGAGGGAGAAGCAGGCTCCATGCCGGGAGCTCGATCCGGGGTCTCCAGGATTATGCCCTGGGCCGAAGGCGGTGCTAAACCGCTGGGCCACCCAGGGATCCCCTGAAAACATTTGTTTTAAGGCTAGGCAGAACTCTTAGCCCCGGAGTAGATGTCCAGACTACATCTTCCTCCACAAAGTGGTTACGACAACACAGGGAATTTAGGTAAAAGCAGAGAAAGGTCTTATATACATAGGACAACCTAGTGTATTTCAGTTCAGAAAATTCAGTGCTGTTTAGTAATTAAAACCAACAGTCAAGGGCAAAGAAGGAAAAAAGCTGGCCAGATGCCTCTCCCTAAATCAGCCAAAGAGATTTCTTATTTTCAGTGTTCTTCTGCTGAGTTCTCCACACAGAGAGGAAGAAAATAAGACTCAGAAAGGCGAGGGCTGTCATGCAATCATCAACATTCTCATTTCTTTTCAGAAAGTCCACCTCTGGCCCCTCCCTCCAACCCAGAGGATGAGTAGGGCTGGCTGAGAGCACAAAGTGATGGCCCCATAACAATCTCAACACCCAGATGACCTGTCGCTAGATCCTCAAGCTTCTACGCATACCCTTTAGCTACTCTTCATTGATGCCCATCTTTTCCTGTGACTTTAAGACCCCAATGACTTAAGTAAATCAAATACTGACCATTTATTTTACCAACACTTCTGACCAGATTTTGCTGGTCTAAAAGAAACATTTTGTAAGGTAGGGTAAGGTGTAGAATAATGTTCTTAGAGCTTCATACTGTCCCATTTAGGGACTGTAATGGTACTATGTACTTTGAAATACTTCTGAAAAAAAAAAACTTTTTCTTTTTTAGAAAGTAACAATCATTAAGCCTATTTGATGGACATAGGAGTATCCATCATCCATTTCATATTCTAAGGGTTGAAATCTGTCATAATGTGGAATAAAAAAGAAACATTCCTGTTATTCACTGGCCAGCAACATTTTTTATGGTCATATCTACTAGGGTATTCAGCTGAAGTATTAATAGGAAATCATGGGATGCTCCCTGGTGCATTACAATGAATAAATAAATAGAAGGAATAGAAATATGTGATAAAATACTAGACTGATTTCTGCCTAGGTTCTGTAACTTAAGTATCTCACTATCCTAATACTTCTCCTGACACCCAGAATGTGCAGTGAAAACCAACATTTAGCTGTGGCTCCAGCTGTCGGAGGAAAAGTTCTATCTGTATCTCTCTGCATCCAAAATAAC